CTGAGGGTTACTGGCAGAGTATTGGGTGATTGGGTGGGGAGAGGGGCTAAAAGGGTGAGGAGCATTAAGGAGGACACCTGTTGGGATGAGCACTAGGTGTTATATGTAAGTGATGAATCACTAAATTCTATTCTTAGAAAAAAATAATTTGGTTACTTCTCCTATCTTTAAAACACAACAGGGGCGCCTGGGTGGCTCAGTCGGTTAAGCGGCCAACTTCAGCTCAGGCCATGATCTCGCGGTCTGTGAGTTCAAGCCCCGCGTCAGGCTCTGTGCTGACAGCTCAGAGCCTGGAGCCTGTTTCAGATTCTGTGTCTCCCTCTCTGACCCTCCCCCATTCATGCTCTGTCTCTCTCTGTCTCAAAAATAAATAAACGTTAAAAAAATTAAAAAAAAAACACAACAAAACATAGGGACATCTGGGTGGCTCAGGCAGTTAAGCATCTGAAATAGGTTCAGGTCATGATCTCACAATACCTGAGTGGAAGCCTCACATCGGGCTCTCTGCTGTCAGCGTGGAGTCCATTTTGGATACTCTGTCCCCTCTCTCTCTGTCCCTCCCCCACTTGCATTGGCTCTCTCTCTCTCAAAAAGAAATAAACATCAAAAAAATTTTAAACAATAAAACATAAAATTGCTCTCTTTACTTTCCCACCCAGGGTCTGCCTCAATACTCATTCCCTTTTACACACAAATTCCTCAGAAGCATTGTCTATACTCATTCCCTCCAAATATTCTTTTGCTATCCTGTCTTTATCAGGCTTTTGTTCCTAACACCCTACACACTATTTTTTGGCAGGATCATGGAGTCCTTTGTTCCTAAAGCAAAGAGTTAATTCTCAAGCTTCATTTAATGGTTGAACCATTATGGTTGAACCATCCTCCTTGAAAATTAGCTTCCAGCACATGAAACTTTTCCCCTTCTCCTCCTCCTCCTCCTCCTCCTCCTCCTCCTCCTCCTTCTTTCTCCTTTTCTGGCTACTTCTTTCTTGTCTTCACTGTCTCTAAACCCTGGAGCAGTCGACAGGACAGTCTCTGAACGTCTCATCTTCTCTTTACACTTATTCTCTTTGTGAACTCATCCAGTCTCCCAACGCTAAACACCATTTATTAGCTGTCAACTCCCAAATTTTATCTCTAGCCCAAAATTTTCCACTAAATTCTTGGCTTATATACAACTTACTATCTTTCCTTCGATGTCTAATAGATATCTCAAACTTAACATTTCCAAAATTGATCTCATTCCCCCCGCCTCAACTTGCTCCTCCCACAGGATTGCCTTCAGAGTCAACAGCATAGAAAAACAGTCCATTTTTCCAGGTGAGGCCAAGAGCTTAAAAGGCATCACTGACTGCTCTCCTTTCTCTTACATTCCATATCCAATCTATCAGCAAATCCCACTGGGTCTGCTTTTACAAGACCCAGAATGCAACTACTTCTTCCCACTCCCACCCCTACTCTGGTTCAAGTCACAGTTACTCCTTGCCTAAATTATTAGGAGACTCCTATCTCCATGTTTTGCCTGTGCCCTCTTAAGTCTCTGCAGTGCAGCAGCCAGAGTGATGCTGTTAAATATAACAAAGCATACGACTACTCTTTTCAAAACCCTCCATGGCATTCAATCTCACTCAGAGTAAAAGCCAAGATCCTTAAATTATCTATAAGGTCCTACAAGACTGGGTATACTCTTACTTTTCTAACTTCATATATTAATTTCCCTCTGGTTCTGTTCCAATCACACTGGCTTCCTTGCTGTTCATTAAACATCTGAGCATGCTCCTGCCTCAGGGCTTTTGCACTCACTCTCCAGGAATGCTCCTCTACCACTTATCTGCATAACCAGCTCCTTCTTCTGCCTTTATTCCAAGTCATTTCCTCAGTATGCCTTTTCATTACAGTATTTAAAACTGCAAAACTCTCCCCAACACTCCCTATTTCCTCTCTCCTGTTTATTTTCTGTGGCCATTAACATACTATGTAGTTATTTGTCTGGTTTATTGTCTTTCTCCCACCTACTCTCCCAGTCCAGAAAGTAAACTCTATGAATGCAGAGGTCCACCACAGATATTTACTAAAAGAATGAATGAATGAAGAGTGCATCCATCTAACACGTATCCCCCATACATTTTGGGGACCGCTACTCTACTAATAACTGACAAATATTCATCTGGATCTGAAAATACTTTAGATTCATTTGGTGTTGACACAATTTACTTTAAAAGTTTTCTTTCTCTTTCCTTTTTTTTTAATATAGTGTGTTGTGTATTTATTTTATTTTACTTTACTTTTTCATGGTATGGAATTATTTTTTACATTTAATTGATATGTACCACTATAAGAATAATTTTATTTTCAGTGTTTGGTTGATACATTTATGTTAAGGGTAAGACTCACAGGATACTTATGCTGAATTACTGGATCAGGACAAAGCCATAAAAAGTATTAGAACTGGGATTCCTAGGTGACTGAGTCAGTTAAGCATCCAACTTCGGCTCAGGTCATGATCTCATGGTTTATGGGTTCGAGCCCCGTGTTCGGCTCTGTGCTGAGAGCTTGGAGCCTGGAGCCTGCTTTGGATTCTCTTTCTGCTCCTCCCCAGCTTGTGCTCTGTCTCTGTCTCTGTCTCTCTCTCAAAAATAAAAATAAACATTAAAAAAATCATTAGAACTTCATTTTAATTCCTTGAAAGTCTCAAAGTTTTTGAAAAACGAGTCAATACCTATTTGTTTATTTGTAACTCTATTTTTATAAACATTTTAATTCTATACTATTTTTGGAAAAAATGATAAAATAACTCATAAGGAGGTACAGGCATTATTTAAGAATTGTGAATGCAGCTCATAACATTGGAAAGTCTGTTAGAATAAAAAAATCTCAATTATTGCTGCTAGAAGTTGTCAGTTTATATTCTGCATTTCTTCAAAAAATCTCTGGTCTCTACCCATTTTTATGTTCTTTTCTCATAGTTCTGATATTTTCAAAGCTAATAAGGTAAAACAGAAAAGATAATCCCAAAGAAATATTTATACTCACATACTGGCATAAAAGTAACTTAATGCCTATAGTTATCACAAGTAGAGTATGCTTCACCTGCCAGGATGCTGTAGGTCTACTGTTTGCAGTTTGTAGCTGTATAACATAGGCAGTATATCTAATCTTTCTAGACCTTAGATTCCCTATTAAATGGGTATAATTACAGTGTCTACCTCATAGGATTGTTGTGATGATTAAACATTACAATGATCTTGGGGTGCCTGGGTGGCTCAGTCGGTTGAGCATCTGACTTCGGCTCAGGTCTTGATCTCACAGTTTGTGGGTTCGAGCCCCATGTCAGGCTCTGTGCTGGCGCCTCAGAGCTTGGAGCCTGCTTCAGATTCTGTATCCCCTCTCTCTCTGCCCCTCCCCTTCTTGCACTCTGTCTCTCTTTCTCCCAAATAAATAAACATTAAAAAAAATTAAGGGGCGCCTGGGTGGCTCAGTCGGTTGGGTGGCCGACTTCGGCTCAGGTCACCATCTCGCGGTCCGTGAGTTTGAGCCCCGCATCGGGCTCTGTGCTGACGCTCAGAGCCTGGAGCCTGTTTCAGATTCTGTGTCTCCCTCTCTCTCTGACCCTCCCCCATTCATGCTTTGTCTCTCTCTGTCTCAAAAATAAATAAATTTTTAAAAAAATTAAAAAAAACATTATAATAATTATAAACAATGATTATAAACAGCAATGATTATAAACAATGATTATAATACCAGGTAGACAAGTAAATACTGGGTAAGTGATAAGTGATATAAAATAGATATTGGTATAATCAGAAAGAAAAAGATACATATTGGTATTCTAGGTAAAGCTCTTTTAGATGCAAATAACAAAAGCTAATTCAAGCTGGATTTCACGTGTTCAATATATATTTACTGAACATTTAGCATGTGTCAGGTACTAGGCAAAGAACTGGTAAGGGAAAAGGGAAAATTTAGAACAAGGATATGGGGTAGCACTAATACTCAAAGGCAGATGTGCAGCTGAACTATTTAGATAGAAATCGAAGAGAGGACTGGAAACTTTCAGGAAACTTAGGAAACATTCTGTCTCACTATTTCTTTTTGCAGACTGGTTTCCATTTTCTTCTTAATAGATCAGCTTTTCCTGCAACAAAGCTTAGATACTAGATTGAAGATAACTACCCATAATCATATGTTATTGTTCCAGCCATACTGAAAGACTGACTGCTACTGTTATATCTCACTTTGGTCTCTTATCTTAATTCCAAAGTCCTGATAGGGATCAAGTGTCCATCCTTGTCTTAACAGAGGATGAGCTAACAGGGTCATTTTGAGTTGAGCAAATATTCCAGATGGTAACAGCAAGTATTATTCACAGTTTATGAAAGAGTAAACTAAGACTGAGAAGAATGAATTTACTTTCCCAAGTTCATGTAGGTATTCTGTGCCAGAAACAATATTTGAACTCTGGGAGTGTGCGACTGCACACTCAGCACATGAAAGTGAGTGCCTCTGTCAAGTCTGTATTATAGGAGCTTTGCTCAGCTCACCCTAGTACCAGCTCAGCTAATGTTTAAAAGTTCCTTTCACTGGGGGCGCCTGGGTGGCTCAGTCGGTTGGGTCTCCAACTTTGGCTCAGGTCATGACCTCACGGCTTGTGGTTTGAGCCCCACATCGGGCTCTGCGTTGACAGCTCAGAGCCTGGAGCCTGCTTTGGATTCTGTGTCTCCCTCTCTCTCTTCCCCTACCCTGCTCACCCTCTGTCTCTCTCTCAAAAATAAATAAACATAAAAATTTTTTTTAAAAGTTCCTTTCACTGTATATGTGTTTCCTTACTAAAGTGTGACACCTTCACAATGTTTAAAGAAATGGAATATCTTTAAAAAAGGTCATGGATTCGGATTACTAAAACTTTTGCAAAAAGAATAAACATATAATTATACCTGCTTCTGTTAATTTTGTATAAACAATTTGCCTTCCAGAAGATACTAGTAAAAACACAAACTTACCTTCCCATTCTGTTGGGATATCCCCTACTTCATAGTCGACTTCTCTTTTATTTGCTGTTTCTATAAATCTTTTCTCTCGAATAGTCTGTCCTACAAGACAAAAGTGATTACATTATTTTTAAAGGAAGTCATGACACAGTAGTTACTACAAGTAATATTTTCTCTTTGGATATTTCACACCTCCTTATTTGGAAAAAGAATTATCAGGACAAAGAAGAGATTCCATTTAGAGTTAGTTTTGTTAGAAAAAGCAAATTCTAGGGGCCTGGGTGGCTCAGTTCATTGAGCGTCCGACTTCAGCTCAGGATATGATCTCATAGTTCATGGGTTTGAGCCCCATGTCAGGCTCTCTGCTTGACAGCTCAGAGCCTGGAGCCTGTTTCAGATTCTGTCTCCCTCTCTCTATGCCCCGACCCTGCTTGTGCTCTACTCTCTGTCTCTAAAATAAACAATAAAAAAATTTTTTTAAAAGAAAAAGCAAATTCTAAACTTACTACAAAAATTTAAAATTTTCTACCATAGCATGCAAAATTAATTTTGGTAGAGTAAATGTAGATTTTGTTAAAAAAAAAAAAAAAAAGGAAATAAATAATCTTAGGGCACAAATGGCCAAAAAAAAAAAAAAAAATACATACAAAAAAACATTTTAATAATCAACAGTGTTCAACTCCTTCAAATTCTACAAGTATTTGTATTAAAGGTGCCAGCGGCTGCTATGACTGCCCAAGAGAACAGCTACTCACACCCCCTACTATGTAAGGAACCGCAAGATCCTGCTGCCATCCCACCGCCACAGTATACTGGCAAACCCAAGGGAACCAACTTACGGGTTCTATTCTATGACCTATGTGAGTGATTACCTCTTACTGGATCAAAATTAAGAAGGCAAAAACTGGGGAACTACGAATGTGAGATCACCCTGGTACAGGATGGTAGCAGTGTAGAAACAAGAAAGCAAATGGAGCAGTAAAGAAAAAGGTGTAGAGGAATCAGGGATGGGATGAGAATGCAATAGGCTTACTTATCTCAATAATAAAAATTTGATTAACAGGTATTTTAGGTTCATATAAAAGATATAAAACTATCTGGTATTTTCTTCTGTTTCCACAGTCTCAGTTATATCCTTCAAAGCAGCTTTGTCAAACTGGTGGTTTCAAAACATGTACCCTTCTCAGTGAGCCTTTGAGCCTAGGGAAACCACATGAAGTTGGTAATTCCCAAAAGTTAGTGAGTGTGCCTACCTACTCAGGGAATGCAAGCTGAAACAGAGAAGACCATGGTGAGTAAGTATAAGGGGAGGAGCATGGCTTAACAATAATCACACTAGTCAGGGAGAGAGATCTGGCCTTTACAAAATACTACTTTCTCTTCCCACTCCATGACCAACCTTACACTATGCTAAATAGACTGAATGACATAATTAAGCAAAATGACCTTGTTGCAAATCTCTGCCTGAAATTCTACCAACTAAAAATTCCTTCAATTGCAGACCAAGGAAATTCCTCGGAGTGAGTATGCGGGAGAAAGGAAGCCACAAAAGGACAGCCTAAGAAAAATGAGTGACTAGTGCTATTTCCTTTGCCTTAGTAATAATAAGTGAAAGGCTGAGATTTCATGGACAAGCCATCAATAGGTAATAACTGTGAAGTATGGGGTTAGGGAAATTCTGCATTTCATTATGGACTCACTGAATCAAGCTGATTTAATCTTAACACAGAGGTTCCCCAAGTTTTATAAAAGGGACTAACTTTTTGCTTACCTTACCCAATAAATTAACAGTAAGTCAAGGTATTAGCAGTAAAGCCTCTAGTTGTAGGGACAAGAGTCAGAGTAAAAGGAGCCTGTAACAATGAGAGGTGCATTACTCTCATAGTAGAGGCTCAAAATATCTAAGTGTCTTTACTAAAATGCTATTTGTATCTATATATATAAACAGGTAATAACAAAAGTTATCATAAATTTAGCATACACTAAAGTATGTTTACATGACAATTTTTAAAATGTTTGGAAGAATCAAAATACCTGTGCCTTCATATAGCTCTCATCTGAATATGAAGATATATGTCCTTTTAGCAATCACAAGTACAGAAAGGAAAACTACCATCTAAAACACAAAATGCTAACAAATTGTCTTCTGAAGGTAGGTGTGTGTTCTATAAGCTTTTAAATGTACATCAAAAAATTTAGCAGAGAAGAGGATAAAGAGGTTTACCAGTCTCAGTACCACCACTAAAGGCATATATAATACAAGCATATTTCAATGTCTGTGATAAAAAAAATAACATCCTATCTCTTATCTCTTAGGTCTATCAATTTAAGGTTTCCCAAGATTTTTAAAAATCATAAGCAATACTTATTTGTGTATAAAT